GTGGGGTCAGGGTGGGTCGGGCGTTGAGCTCGGCCCACACGGGCGGTGCGTGTCTTGTATCCAAACCCGCAAGGGGCTCCCCCGCACAGAGCACCGTTAATGAGGTGCCGGCCACCGCGTGTTGCCTACAGAGGATTTGTGCAGCAAATTGCCGGCTCACTGAAAACGATATAGGGAGAAGCGACCCCGCCCCTCTCCCTCCTCCCAACCAACGCTTCCGCACGCACCATATGAAACAGCATCAGTGGCCCATAACGCGGCGGCGTGCGGGCCGCATATGAGAGGCATGGCGGGGCGGGGCGGGGCTGGCGGGGCCGTGCGCAGCATAGAGAGCGGGCGTGCAGCCAGCCCAGCTTCATAGACTCGCTGTAGGCGCCCCAGACCAGCCCGCGCCGCCGTTCGAAAATGGTCATGGCGCATGTCGTCTTGTCTCCCTCCCTCCCGGTGAGCGGGCGTTGGTGCGACGGAGACGGGTGGGCGCGGATTCTATTAGAGTGGAGCCCGCCAGTGTGTCTGGCGGGGCCCGGCGCAGCTCGGCGCCCATAACACGGTCGGGAACACTGAGAAAAACATTCAAAGTTTTTACGGGGAAAAACTCGAGCACAAACTGTGGTTAAGTGAAATTCAAATTGTAAAGTTTACTTGTTTTCATGACTCAGTTGTCAAAATAAGTAATGAGCTGTGACAAATTTACAAATTCGTTTGTAATTCAAAATCACAAAAGCGTAATTGTGAATCAACAAAAAGAAAAAGGCAATTGTAAATTCACAAACACATTTTTTACAGTGCTGTTCCCGACGCGGTGCCGTGTTTGGTTTCGCCGCTCTGACGAACGGCCAGCACATCGAGCCGAGGATTGGCTCGGCTCGCCTTGGCGCACAGGCGGCCGCCTTTTGTTTATCGCAACGCTGTTCTAAACAAAGGGACCTGGCAAGTTCTTGGTCACCACTCTGTCAGTAAGAGGCGGTTTCTTCTCTACATGTAAAGCCATTTAACGCGACTGACGATTTATTGAATTTGGAGAGTATAATTTATTTTCTAAATTACAATAATATTCTTTTGTTCTTTAAAATTTATAAACGATTTTGCACAATTCGATCGGTATATAGTAAATTTCCGATACGACTAACCATTGCTTTCAACTTCAAAAAAACGAAGGAAATGAATGGGAATGTGACAATTCGGATAAGGCACGGGAGGCGGAAAAGGGGCCGTCGAACCGTCGCTACTTTCCGAACGGTGGCGCATCCTCCCCTACTACATCCACACAGCACGCCGCCCCCCTCCCAGCCTCGTCACAACCCTCACTTCACGAATCGTGTTTATTATTACCATGAGAGCTTCGAGAGGCAGTGCCGTCAGAAGATGACTCGATTGGTAAAGGAAAAGGGAATGCCAAGCAAGCCGGGGCTGGGGCCCAGGTCAGGGCGGCTGTCCTGGCCAGGGGCGTCTCTCATCTCCTATGTGTCTCCTCTTTTTTATTATGTCGGCTGGTCTTCTGTTCTCCCTCCCTC